ACTGAAACACAAACCTGCAATATCAACTCACCGTTGCATCTTTACGTATTTGGGGATATCAATTTTTGTTACAAATCTAGTTATATTCCTATGTTTTTACTCTTCAACTGATTTTGCACATTGTAAAAGAGAATACTTGTTTTTGGAGATCATCAACAAATTGCATGTGGCAATAAACTGGCTAGTAACAGAGCTTAATTATAAAATAAACTGGCATATTAAGACTCAGCTTAAGACCATAAACTTCTTATGTGAAAGAAGCATATCGTATATTAAAAATGCCAATCAAGCATTTCGAAACGATAATTTACTCGATGAAGAACACGAATTTATTATTAATATTGAGTTAAATAAGATTAAAAAACTTTTACATCTGCACAGTAGTACAATAAAGAACAGCCTTTTCGTACTGGATACTTTCAAAATGTCGATTATAGCAAACGTAATTTTTGCATCTTCTGTGGGGTCCATTAATGGAAGTTTGTTGTTACTACACTTTTCTGATAACGCGTTTCGAAAACCCTACTTAGTTATTTTCTTGTATATAACCGAAATAATTATGGTCTTTTCGTTAATTGTAGTTAATATTTTGAACTGGACCATGATTAAAAATGAGGTAAGTTATGTAATAAAAAGCGGCATTTAAACAGAAAAAATTTTTGGAGAAAAAATAAAAAAATAGAACATAGAACAAAATAGTCTAATAAAAATGAATAACAACTTGAACAATAATAGTAGATCAATCTGGCCTCGATTCAGTAAGACTGTGTGTTAAAGTAGGAATATGTATTATAAAATAGTTATGGATCAGTAAGCAAAGTAAAAGATAATAACAAAAAAAAAAAACAAAAAACAATATGTATAATAAACCTATCAATTGTTCATTTTCAATACCTTTCTATACAGCTATGAGAGATTCATTTTAATCGGAATTATTTTTTCATGTTATTTGGTTGATTTTTGACAAAAAAGGTCTTCGTAAATTTTTTTCAAAAATTAATATTTCCTGAGTTGTGAAGTTTTTAAAAAATTCAGGGAATGAAAATTTACAATGTAACAAACAAGGCTTTTCACAAGTAGTTTTTTTATCCATATCATGTATTATTTGTAGGAATGTCCTAATGGATAATTATTTTTTGATTGAAAAATTCGAAAAAAAAATACGATGCTCTCACTGGCATTTAGTGCCTTAGATATAAATATCTCTTATTTCTTATTTTATTTATTTGTACGGAATTATCTTGTACAATCAGATATAAAAAATTCAATGCATTTGCATTTATTTGAGTGTAATGAGCTTTTTTCATATACTCATATTACAATCATATTTTTTATTAGCCACATGTTTATTTCTATTTTATGTTATATATATTGCTTTCCTAATGTTTGCTCAATAATAACTTATAGTTCACTAAAATAAAAAGTTAAAAAGTAACATCCTTTTTCGGGGAATTTGTTAGGTTTGATTGGTTCGGATTGGCTAAATGAACTACAAACCTACGAATCATAAAAATAAAAACTGATCAGGTGAGAAGTGAGGTTAAAATCACTTCTGTAAACATATATTTCTTATATATTAATACACTATTTATAAATTGTTAATTTTGAATGTGATCTAAAATTTTGTTTGTTTGTATCCTTTACGATGCGGATACCAAAAGACTTTGCGGAACTGGTTCGTTTCGCCCAGAAGCAAAGGTACAAAAACCATGCACATTCTGTTATCAATATTGGATAATTAATCATAATAATTGCAACGTTCTTGTTAATATAGAAGGTGAAAAGTGAAAATGTATTGTTTACGAATATTATCATTGCAAAATAAAAAGAATTTTTTGCGGTATGGTGTAATAAACTTGAGCCGCAAAAATAAGGTTAGAAATATCAAGTTAGATTTTGTTCAAGTTCCCTTAATAGGTAAATGTGCTTTTACCCACACCGATACCAAATCGTTTAATACCGAAGATAATAAGCGAAAATATGCGGTTGCTACAAAGTTGGTTGATCTTGCTCCAAATTCTGTGAAGCCCTATTTAAAACTGATACGACTAGATAAACCAATAGGTTCATGGCTACTATTTTGGCCTTGTGGATGGAGTATTGCCTCAGCAGCGGACGCAGGATGTCTTCCCGACCCCTTTCTATTATTTCTTTTTGGTACAGGAGCTCTTGTAATGAGAGGTGCCGGCTGTACCATAAATGATATGTGGGATCGCGATATAGATGCCAAAGTGGTTAGAACAGTAGACAGGCCTTTAGTTAAGGGTGATATTTCTATGAAACAGGCATGGAAGTTTTTAGCTGGACAATTAAGTGTAGGTTTACTAGTGCTATTACAATTGAATTGGTATAGTGTTATACTAGGGGCCAGTTCATTATTTTTAGTAGTTACTTACCCTTTAATGAAAAGGATCACCTATTGGCCACAGTTAGTGCTTGGGTTTACGTTTAATTGGGGTGCACTCTTGGGTTACAGTGCTGTGAAGGGCTATGTAGATGTTCCTATATGTCTCCCACTTTATATAGCTGGCATATGTTGGACCATTGTGTATGATACAATATATGCACATCAAGACAGAAATGACGATCTAATGTTGGGCATTAAGTCAACAGCCATTCGATTTGATAGAAATACAAAATTATGGTTGAGTGGTTTTTCTAGTGTTATGATAACAAGTTTGATAACATCAGGACTGATGAATGATCAGAGTTGGCCTTACTATGTAGCTGTTAGTGCTGTAGCTGCTCATCTTGTTTCTCAAATTAGCTGCTTGGACATAGATAATCCACAGGATTGTGCTAAAAAATTCTTTTCGAATGCACAAGTGGGATTTATATTATTTTCTGGTATTGTATTAGGGACGTTATTAAAGAAAAATGTGAAAAATAAGAACAAATTTTTAGCGACCGCTCATTTAAATGTATAGTACTCCAAATGTGATTAGTATTATTTTTAATAGTGTATTAAGTACATGTTGTTGCCATTTGCCAAAGGAAACCTACTTATAGTATAATGTTAACTTATGAAAAATAAAAGTAAATATATTTAATTTGATTTTCTTTTCTTTAACATACATAAGAATATAAGGATACGCACAGAGATAGAAGAGTGACAGTTACAGTTTGTATAAAGAGCAACAAGTGTCTACTTACAGAATTTGAGCAACCTTGTAGAGAAATAAATATTAGGAAGATAGTTACACAAGAATATACATTGTCACATTAAAGATAGGACAGCTTTAGGGATAGATACACAGGAACAAAAGTAACAAATACAGATGCATCCTGTAGAGGTGTAAAACACCTACATGCATTATCAGATCAGTGCAAAAACATTAAAACTTAATTAAAAACTTCCTAAAATTAAGTTGATGAATAAAAATGTATTAAATAAGCAAAAATAATGTACATTTCATTTAAATATTTACTCGGTATTTATACATAATTTATTTTATTAAATTCTGCAAATATTAAAATAAACGTATTAATGTAAATTCTTTCTTTAATTATTAAAAAGTGAACATACCTCAATTGGAAAAATAGACATGAGTGTATATTAATTTTCTTTATTGAAATAAACATCAGCATATTAAATATTACATTAAACAGATCTACTATTTTAAATGACCAGCACTAAAAAACAAATCTCGTTCCAAATGTTCTGCTTTTAGCGTCCCATCAATGCTTTCACAGTTTTTATTAAACACCGAATATGCACTTACTTCATCAGGTCTTTTAGGATCAGTTCTGGTATTTATATACATTCCAATAATTGCAGATATAATGAGGTAAATTATACCAAACCCCAATTCAATAAAAACTGCAAAAAGAGTTACCCATAACAAAAACCACAACACATAGTAAATAATACTAGTGGTAATATTTTTTTGGTTCCATTCCATATCACAATCATCAAGTACGGAAGACTCACTACATGCAGATTCTGTCACATCTGGGTCAGACGTAGAGTCATTTTGTCGATTAGTATATGGAGTCTTTGTTGTAATACTGGCTTTTGATTGTAACTGGGGTTCCTCAAACGATTGCTTTGGTCTCGTTATAAAAAACCGCTTTATTCTTTCTTTGTACTCGTTTATTAACTCTTCTTTTTCTTTCTTTGCTCGATACTCACTTAATAATTTTTCTCTATCCATTAATACCAGAAGAAGGAATTTCACAAAAATATTGCCAATATGTAAAATGTCACTTTTAACTTATTTAGTATATTTGCAAGTATGATTAAAAGTACAGTAACACAATCAAGAAAAGTATAGCTTACAAACCAATAATTTAGGTACGGATTTTTTAGGTAAATATTGTAAATAGATAAAAAAAACACAAAAGTTAGATACACAAAATTATATACTATATACCAATCTACAGAAATTTTATTTAGGTTAAATAAACGTCAAAATTTATGGTGAACTGGTGAGCTGTCTGTCTTTAAAGGAAAAGTTGCAGTTTATTCTGAATTGCATGTGAACTTTTTCATGTATCGACTTACTCTATAAGTTATTCCAAATTTAAACTTATTTTTATGTGTAAAGTGCACAGAATATTATTCGTTTTATTGATTTTCTAGTTAATTTTCTTTATTGTTATTTTCAAATTAACTGTATATTTTCATTTAACAAGTGAGAAGTGAACAACCAATTCACTTCTATAGTGGAAATCAAGGTCATCTAAGTCAGAAAGCACTCCTTATCCTCTTAGTAGTTGTAAGGTTATTTTTCAAACTAATTTATAAAAATCAGAAATATTTCAAAAAAGTGCATATAAAAATGAAGATCAAATTTAGAACAAACAAACCGCCCTTAAGTAAGTAAATGTATCTATTTTAATTCATTCTTTTACAATCTTAAACATTTCCAGGTGGTGTTTTATTAATAGAGTATCTGAAATCTTTGTCAGATGAATCTTTTCTGATTGAATGGGGAAATGAGTCCATCATTGTAGACACTCATAACGTAAATTATGAAACGTCTAACGATCTTTTGCGATATTTAGCTAGAAAATATGTTACTTATGGACTATATGGTCATAGTGCCACTGATAGGACTGAGGTGGATCATTGGTTAACATTCTCAATAGGTCCTCTAACTAATAACTCTGATATAAATACAGCTTTTCAACATTTAAATAAAATTTTGGGATCTGCAACATATCTAGTTGCAAAGAAAATTAGTATTTCTGACTTTGCAGTCTTTGCAGCACTANATGATAAGGTTTTCATAGTAATGGGCAAATTATATAAAAGTATGTGATTGCATTAATACAGCTACTTTTTTACTAATTGTTCTGTTTGTCTTTGTTAAAATTAGGTTTTTATTTCTGGTATTATTTATTGATGTTTTATGTACTTAGTTCAATGAAATAGTATTTTAAGGATTCAAAAGCAAAAATTTGTTGCATGTTTAGTAGAGTCGTTATAATTTATGTTCAATATTTTATTTTGTACCTTTTGCAGTAATGTCTGGTTATTTTCGTATGCTCCGTCCCATGCTATATTTCTATAAGTTGTTAATGAATTGAAAAGTACATAATATGTGAGTCTTAGATTATGAGTGACATAATTTTTGATATTTAGTGGAACACAAAAGCTAGACATCTGGTCTTTTTTAGAATATAATCGGCATGATTTTCCAATCCCATATTAGAATCAAAAAGACGCCAAAATATTTGTATAGGATTACTTTTTGTATATTGCGTTCATTAATCTTCACATTTATACCTCTGCAACGCTGTCATACAGGGTGGTTTAAAAAGTACGCAATATATTCATTGTGACCAAACTATAAGTTTAATCGAAAAATTTTTCAAACAAAACATTCCCTATTTTAATACAATATCATCTGTAGTATCTAAATTTGATTTACCATACAGTGTTCAAAAATAAAAAAAAAGAAGGTTTTGTTTAAATGACCCCATAGTTAAATTAAGGTCTAATTTATTTTTTCTAGATCGATACAGTACTCCTTTTTACATGTATATACTTATAGAGAAATTATACAAAACAATGCAAATTTGAATTTTAAATCTTAACTTACAATTTTTTAATTGATACTCAATGGCAGCTTTCAAATTAAATGCCTCTGTGAGAGCAGTTTCATGTAATGTTAAAGTATTTCCAACAGATCTGACTTCAATACCTTCTGTTTGCATTCCCACACCAAGTTCAGGATGATCTTTTATGCCCCTCTCAATTATATCAGCTAAAAGCATTTCTCAATGACTTCTCTATTGTGGTACGGTTCAGAAATAGATTTTCTTACCACAATTTTTGAGTGCCAAACCATATTCTTTTAATTTGTAATAGCAAAGAGCAATATTGTAGCTTATATAAGGTTTAAAACCTGTGTTTTGTAGACAAATAAGAAACTTATTCAGTGCTTCTTCATAATATCCTTCCTGCATAATATAATTTAAAAATTAAAGTAAAAAAAAACATTTATTTATAATTACTGACCTGGAACAAAATACATCCAATATTAATATCAGAGTCTGCATCTTCATTAAGAAATGATTCTATTATTTCTCTAGATGTTGTAAAGTCCTCCTCACCATATTTAATAGCAGACTGTATTTTTTTTACCTACAATCTACCCACTTTACCTTCAGTTATCTTTTTCAATATCTTTTATTACCTTTAGTTTGTACTCTGAGTTTGTTATTTCCTCTGTAATTTTGTAAGCATCAATGTACATGCAAGCCTGATGTAACGATTGTGCATAATATAATTTGTAGTCAGTATTATTTGGAAACATCTGGACGAGTTGTTCATAATATGTAGCTGCATTGTTAAAATCTTGTGTGTAGTAATAACAGTATGCTAATAAAGATAAACCTGCCCTTGTTAAATTAGATTCTGGTATTCCATGTAGGATTCTTATAGCTTCGCCATACCGTTCTTCCTTTATCTAATAATGGGATGTATGTATTATGATTATGAATTACTATTATTCTTACCAAATTGTATGTAGTTTTTGTAAAATCGCCGTCGTTAATTGCAACAGATGCTGAAAGCATTTTTTGAAGTCGACAATGGACGCGAAATGCGAAACTTTTTATTTATGAAGTGGTTTCCATGGTAACTTCTGTCGGTACCCCACGATCAGCCCCGATTATTAATTTTGAATTTCAAAATTACAAATTATTAGAGATATTTAATAAAAACTTCCCCAAATACTATCAACAATTATATAATATACAGATCGAACGTTTTTAATCTTTAATTTAATTAA